GTAATGCGAAAATTAACCTCTCTGTTTTAAGGCTGCTCATTTTATAAAAAACTGAGATTGTTTGTGTGTAAGGTTGGCAATGTGAAATTTATGAAGCTAGTTAATGAGATATGGCAGGTTATTCTCAATGTTACTATGCAGTATTGCCACAAACCTATTCTATTCTATTCTATTCTATTCTATTCTATTCTATTCTATTCTATTCTATTCTATTCTATTCTATTCTATTCTATTCTATTCTATTCTGTTCTGTTCTGTTCTGTTCTGTTCTATTCTCTGTAAACTTCTCTAACCTCTTTTCCATTGCAAAATGTCACAATTTCCAGTTGCTTGAGAAACCAAAGAATCATCTGTCATGATTTCAGTATTGGCACCGTAGATGTAGGTATGTAGTGAGTGAAGTAAGGAGTAAGAAAACAGAGCTGTTGACTGGGGAATGAGCAGTCTACATGACTGAGACTTAGGAGAGCCCTCAAGGTCTTGTATCAAGAAGCCCTTGAATTTGCTTTCAATCAATTCTTTCTCCATCTAGACTTACCTGTTTAAAGGCTAGCAGCTAAATGGGAAGTACATCATTGAGGAATTTTTGTTTTTTGTTGTTTTTTTTTTTAAGGCATCTACTTTATGGTTGGAGCAGAAGATTTATATATCTATCTCTATCTATCTATCTATCTATCTATCTATCTATCTATCTATCTATCTATTACAGTATGCAGAGGTTTTGGACTGGCTGAAGCCCCTGTTGTTAGCTATCAGACAATGAAAAAGGCAATGACTGTCCCACTGGCCTAGCAAATCACATTCCCAGCCGTGATATCAGGTGGGGCTGTGATGGCAGTAGCAAACAGTGGTCTGGTGTGAGGAATGTCAGTACTGCCACTCAGTAAACTAGAGCTGGTGGTTTCTGTCCCTCTTCTGCAAAGCACCGGGATTCTTCTGTCATGTTTAGTTCAGTATGCTAAGTTTTGTGAAAACAATGAACTGGCAGACCTCCAGTAGCATGATTTTTATCTTGAATTAACAATAACTTGGCTTTCTTCACAAAGGCAAGTACTTATGTTTAAAACTAAAATTGCTTTCTCTTCTTGGGGATTCTAACATGTTTGCTAACATGTGAAATATACCTCCTTCCCACCCCCAATAATCTTACTGCTATCAGGCTCTTTGATCTGCCGTGGATTTTAATGAGTCACTTAAAAACAGATATCTATTTTGGCAATTTGACTGTGATCCTGTCTCCGAAGTCAGCTACCATTTTGAGAATGACATCTGAGTCTGCCTGTGTTTCTGCATGACTGGAAACTGTCACTACTCATTTAAACTTATTAGTGTTGGAAATGGATATGGTGGTTCATCTAACACAGATGAAACTCTAGGCACTAGCATTCAAATTCAAATGTTGCTCCCACATGTAAATGAAGATGTGACTGTAGTCATGAGAGCTTGGACAATTGGGGGTGAAAGCTGCACTGCAGCTCAAGGGGGTGTTGGATACTTTGCCTACAGGTCACTAGAAGAAGGTTGTAGCATTTTGGGCAATTCAAGAAAATTCTGTGTTTGATTATAAAAGTTTAATACAGTAATTCAGTGCTTCAGCTGAAGATTACACCATGGAAGATATTAAATATTGCTCTAAGGAGGAGTCTTAAGTTGTGAATACTCATTCTGAGGGGGCGAAATGAGCATTTGAGAAATGAGATTTTTGAGAGGACAAAAGTAACTTTCTGACTAAAAGCTGAACCTCTGCTATGTATCTTGATAGTCCGTGCATGCACTGAAGGCATGCAAAATGTTTTTCTTCTTTAAATACAAACCTGGAGAATGATTGCCACAACCCTCCATCTATCTTTAGATGATCTGAAGTGCTTGGGATGTACAAGCATTGCTGGCACACAATTGTTTTTCTTATCTAAACAGGCTGTGAGCCAAAAGAGCAGAAAGAGACAAAAGGAGAACCTGGACGTCTGGGGCTGTAACTAGTGGCATAGCACTGCCACTGCTCTTCTCACAAGGCTGTACCATGCAAAACCATGTTTTAATTTATTAATTATTCTTCCAGTCTATTATGTCTAAATACATTCCCTGAGCAGAGATTGTTTTTGTCTATTTAGGCACTCCTGTGGCTAAATACAAGCCCAGAGCTTGCTTGTACGAGGAGCATTTTGGCTGACAGTACCTTTACCATTTGAGACTAGTGGTGTGCTAAAATGAACAACTTATGTTCCTGAAACTGTAGAAGTGACCTGGCAAAATGTGATTTTATATAGATAATTCCTTTCTTTCTTTTTCTCTTCTTTTCTCTCATTTAGCTGTAGATGAGTCTTAATACTGACAATGCCACGTGGTTACAACACTGTTTAACGTCTCTGCAACCTGCAAAGAGCATACACTCTGAAACGTTTACCTGATCAGTCAGTAAAATAGAACTTAAATGATAATAATAACCAAATCCTGGTTTAACCTTTTCCTTTTCCCATAAGTAGAGTTCAAACTGCAGCAGAAATACACCAGTCTTGTCTGAAATTGATGGCTAATAGAGAATGCAAAGGTGACTGTCAAGTTGATGGTGACAGGACAAACTAAATGCTCCTAATGGATTTATTTAAGACTGCCTCTCAACAACACATTTATTTCTCTGTAATAGATGACTTGTGGCTGTCTGTTTAACTATCAGGCTTTCTAAAGTAAGCTTACAGTTCTGCTAACCTCTGATGCATCGAGTTGGAGACTTTCCTCTCTTGACAGATAATACTATTGGGAGGAAAAGGAAGTTTTGCAACCCTTAAATTTCCTGAAGAAAAGAAAAAAAGAAAAAGTTGTTAAGATTCCTTTAAAATAAATTAAAAACAAGACCAAAAAACTCAGTGACTCACAGCTTACAGGAACATCAGCTTTTTTTTCTCTGTGATGATAACTAGATAGATTTTTTTTTTCCCGTTTATTCCAAAGGAAGGCAAACTTTGCCAGCGCTTTTTTTCTTTCTTAATTTTATTTATTTATTTTTTTTGTTTACAGCTGCTACACTTCAGTATCACAACTGTATTTAAAAGAATAGTATGAATTTTCATCCATTGGTAACATGAGGATGCTTCAGAACAATTACTAAAATCAACATTAAAGGTTTGAACATTAAATAAACGGAAATGTTGAGTCAGTTGAAAAATATATGAGGAATTTCCAAAAGGCACAGTTTAAATAACCGAGGTAGACATTCACAGAAATGCTTATAAAGAAAGACATTTTCATGTAGCAAGCAGTCTGCAACTCACTGGTTGGGAAAAGAGTCAAAACAAAATTTGTTTCTGTAACACAGTAGCGAGGCTTTGGCTCAGATAAAAACTGCAATATTCCCTTATTAAAGCAGTAATGCTAACTAGAGAATGTGGGATCTCTTCCAAGTAAAGTCACGTTTCCTGTGTGAATTAGTGACCTGATCTTAAAGAAGGATCTTGCCTGATCTGCCCTTGAGGTTGTATGGCATTGTGCATTTTTTTAAACTCTTTTGAGTTTAAAACTCTAAGAGTGTGCTTTTATCTATTAGACATGTGCTGTACGTAAAACTTTTAGTTCACAAGGATCATCTTGTTCTCCCTGATGACTTTTTTGACAACCTTTGGGATTTTCATTTTTGAATATCTGTTGCACATAGTGCTTGCTTTTGACCTTCAGGGAAACAAGAGTGTGTTTTTGATCTTAAGCATAGTAAATTTTTTGTTTTGCTTTGTTTTTCAGGCATTTGAAATAATGATGCAGTTATTAGATAGATAACAGTCCATTTTGTGCTCACAATTGCAGTAGTACAGAGCATCAGAAACCTGATTTGTCCTGGAACCTGAAAAGAAAGTTGCTATGGTAACTGGGCACTTTACATCCCATTTGGGACTTGAGTTAGGTATGCCTATTTCATTTAATTTTCTCCTCCTCATGAAATGCATTAAGTCTCCCAACTCCAATAAAAAGTCATGTTGGGTATGTTAAGTATCTCCTCACTCTGTCTGCCCCCCTCATGTGTCTTTGTCCTCTCTCCATGCCGTGACCAGGGGTGCTGCTCTGGCACTTCCCAGGTGCAGCAGACGGACATCATCTGGTGTCCTGTGCCCAGCTGGGCCAACACTTCCTTCTGCAGCACCTGCTGGAGTTGGTGCCTTGGAGGCTGGAGCTTGTCCAGGGTGCCTCTGAAGGCTTCTTCGTCGCCCCTTTCCTGTGCTGAGAGCTGGTAAAGGGAATGTCTGTGTGCTTAAAGGAAAGGAGGAACCTTGGGGGGGGTGTGAAGTGTTAGGAACTGTTGTGTAAATGCTTTGGTGTTAGCTAGTAAGAATAGTTCCCTCCTCTTTCATTTTTATGCTCTTTTGCAAAGTTTTAATCAAAAGAGGCTTCTCTTTTAAGATGCAGGCACCTCCCACATGCAGGAATGTGACGGCTGCTCTCTTTCTTCTCCTGTGTAAGATGTTCTCTCTTACTTTGGGTGGTGTTTTCACATTCACTCTGCGGTAGGGCTGTGGGCCAACCATGTCTGTGCCCCGAGCACTCAACAGAGCAGAGCAGAGGCCAGATCACAGATGATGGGCTGGGTGCCTCTCTGAACAGCTTGCAGCTGTATTGAATTACTGTGGAGCCTTTTTTTTTTTAAAAAAAAAAAAAAAAGAAAAGAAAAAAGAGATTCTGGCTAAGGGGTTTATCACCATATGTGAGCTGTTTGTAGAGGGGCTCTCACCTTGTAGAGAGTTTGGGTGAGAGAAGAGGGTTTGGGAGGGACAGCAATCTCAGTTGTTGATTGTAGGTGTACTTTGTGTGCAAACATGCCAGCCTAACTAGTAAGGCCAAAAATTACTTGTAAGACTCTTTCTTAACATAGTCGGATCCTGTTAACTTGTTAAGTTCAACTTCTTCAGGATATATAATTATTTTTGTTTGTTGGGACATCTGTAAATACTAATCCAGTTCCAACTGATAGCTTCCTATTACCTACTTCTCATCATCAGTTTCTTTGCAGCATTGAGTGATGGCTGTGGCGCCTTTGGGGTAAAAAATAAAGAGCAGATGGAGCTTTCTTGAGCACAAACTTCCTTTTGGACCCGCTTCTGCTGGGATTTCCGTAACTTTTTGAGAAGTAAGAAGTTATTTTCCCAAATCGGGGAGAAGAAAACTCTGTATCTTCCATATGCCAGGATATCTTGAGGTGATTCATCATCATCTTTTTTTTTTTTTCCTTTTTATTTATTTAATTTTTTAAGTCACAGATAATCACAGAAGCACAGAGGGAGATCTGTTTCTCAACTAATGCTGCCAGTTCTTCTTTGCCCTTGGAGAATATTCCCCTACAGATTTGGGGGGTTATTTTTGTTTTGTTGTGGTTTTTTGTTTGAGCCAGTTTTAGTAAACAAGTTGAAGTTGCTCAAGGCTAGAGATACAAAGAAGTTCAGGGTGGTGACCTGAGGACTTGTGCTGAGACATGTTTGCAAACCAACTCTAATGCCAACATAGAAGCTATAGATAACTTGTTCTCTGTAAGCCTCTGTGAATACAATTTCAAAATACAGTGCTAGTACTTACCTCCAGGTAGGGCAAATAGCTAGGGTGAAGGGGTTATTGTGCATGTCCACAGTTCTTTTTTCCTTACTTTTATGATCTTTCATGGTTGAATGTGGAGTAATATTTTGTATGGTTATAACTGGAAATCTGCTACTGATGCTTTGCATCTCAGTCCTGACTTGAATGCAAATAACCATTCAGTTAGGTAGAACAGGTATAGTTTATATCCCAGGGACACTGATTGAGAGTAACTATGTAAAGCTGAAGACATTTCCCTTCCTTCATGCAAATTTAGCTGGAAATATTTGCCCTCAGCCCGCTCCTTCTTTTCTAGTCTTGCATAATGTGGAACATAATGGGTTTTGTAAGAGCTTTCAAAGGGCAAAAGTATGATTTGCAGACTTTTCGCAGACTTTTTTTTTTTTTTTTCCCCCCCTCCTGCTTTTAGGCACAAAATAAACAGAGAGCTCCATCATCTGCCGCTGTATCCCAGTGCTTGCACTGGGAAGTACTCACCTATGTCACGTGGCTCAGGCTCAGAGAAGTTCTCTGGGCTGTGCAGGTTGTGACAGAAGAATGGTGTTTTCATTCCTGGTTTTGCAAGGAAATTCATAGTGAAAATAATACTGAAAACTATGCGGTCACAAAAGATTTGCAGATTTCTGAAAAATGATATGCCAAGTTAAAAGTTAAATTTTAGGAACTGTATAAACATTAATACATGCAGAAACTTTTATTTTCTTGCCTGGCTGGAGAACTGTCATTTTTCACAATGTAAAGAAGAATCCACGTGTAGCCTGAGTAACACACAATCATGTCGTACTGGAACTTTCAAATAGGACTTTCAGGTTTTATGGGCTCTTCATTGTATCAGCATTGTTTGGCTGTAGTGCAAACAAATTGTAAGTACCTAGAAAAGTAGACTGAAAAATATGCCACACTTTTAATGCTGGGAATTGTTATGTCTTTGAGTAAGTCTTGTATGGAAAACATTTTTACTTCCCTCAGGAAAACAGGTGATTAAACATAATATTCTCATTTTCCTGTTCTTGCAGTATTTTTGCAGCAAGGTAATCATTTTTTATATATATATAGATATATTAACTCACACATGCCTACATTATGTGGTTCTGAAAGCAGTCTTTATTTCTGGTAGTTTCACATAAACCAGTTGAATTTTGGGGATGAAAATTTACCATGGTACTGCTACTCACTGTAGAAGGGAGAATGTACATGTTTAAATTCCTAGCAGCGTGTAGACAATGCTGTGATCAGAACTCTTTCTTGGTATCTTCAGGAGCCATCCCAGCATTTCTGGTATCTGTATAAATAATGAATGGTTAAAAAGTGAGCCAAGTGACTTAAACTCCCATTTCTGTAAATACAGCATCTTCCTGCCCACCTTTCCTGCGAGGATTTGTTCTGATATTGTTTGCCTGTAGAGTATATTAGTTAATACTTCCATGAACTCATGAGTGGAACTCATGAAGCCACTGGTCCACTATCACAGCTAAGGAAGTATATGACTGTTTAATAATTGAATAATATACAATAAAACTTAAAGCTATCATAGACAAGTACTTAGGTGTTTTTAATCTGTAGGTGGAATGTGTCATCCCTCAGCAGAATAGCTACATTTGTCTCAAATGGAAGAAGTTATATGTGCAGACAGAGCATTTTGTCTTCATTCTGCTGCTGTAGTTGAAGTCATCCTGCATCTACATTAATTTCCTATTATGAAAGGTTTAGAATTAAGAAATACTGGCCTGAGTGTCATTTTTCTGAAATAACTTAATGAATTGGCATGTAGCCTTGTCATCTCATGGTTGGTTGAGGTCCTGAGGCAATATTTAGTGTAATAGAATAAGTGGTGCTCCAGTTAACACAATCATCTCTTATGCAGAAAGATGCATTTATGCCTTTCAATACCACAAATCTTTTCACTGTATGTTTGGCTATTATTCTGCTAATTCTTTGTAGAGAATTGGAGACTGCCACATCTTTGTTTTCTTTTGGGTGGGGAAAGAGCTTTGCATGTTCTCTCTGAAAAGCCCAGAATTTGAACCCAGAAAGCTTACATGAGGATTATCTTTTTAAGGACTTGAGGATCCCCATAGACTTGCCTAAGCCCTTTAATCAAAGATTGAATTTTCAGCAGAATATATTAGTTATGTTTGTCCGAGTCCTAGAGGGCCAGTAAATCAAATTAATCTTAATTAAATTTAAGCTTGTGATAGGATATAATATTGTAAAGGTTAAAGTTTGAAAGGATCACTACACAAGCAGACCATTACTTTTTCCAGTGAAAATGTAGACAAATTTTAAATTCACATTTCTGTAAATACGTTTTAACAGAATCATTTTTAGACCAGTGTTAGACTTTCAGTAATATACTAAGTACTGTGCTTTTGTCTTCATGGGAAAAGTATTTTTCAGATCAGTAGTCTGAAAGCTCATTTAATAAGCTTATCTTGTCATACTAATGTAAATTGTTTAGATTGAATTAGCAACTTTAGTACTAATGTTAATATTAAAAACAAAATTACTATAGTGGATGTTTCCATATGCTAAAAATTTCTGTATGCCAGAAACAGATAAAGCTAAAAGTGGTAAAGATGGCCACCAACATGATTATTTTTTTGTGTGTGTGTGTTTTCTTAAATTGACTTAAATCTTCTGCTAAATTCCTGCAGTAAGAATCCTTAGAAATAGTACCATGCAGAATTACTTAATCTACTGCAGGTGTCTGCATTAAAAAAAAAAGAAGTCAGTTTAACATCTTTAGGTCTATTGATTATTTCTGAGGAAAATTGCTCTTTTGATTTAAATCCAATGGAAACTTTCTCTAAATGTTTGTCTTTATTATGCCAATACTGCCCTTTTTCACACTGACAAGGCATCTCTCCAGTTTCTGAAGGTCTTATTTGGTGTTCTTTCATATCTCTTCCTCTTATGTCTCATAACAAAATTTATGCACAAATATGCAAACAAATATAATCAGCAATGTCTTAAATTAGATTTCAGCATTCCAAAGCTATGAAAAACAATATTAACTTCAGTCTTTTTTCCTAAATACCCAACTTTCAGGCCCTCATTTATTTCTGCTTTTGGCCCATTTCTTCATATACCTGGTTTTAAAACACTTTATAGAAGCTTACAGGAAGTTTTTGCATAGCTTTTGCTTGGTGTACTCCACTGACATAACTTACGTTTTTCACAGGCCTGTGTCCCTGCTGGGTGACCTGAAGTAGCTGGTTCATGTTTGGTTTTCTTGTGGTATGACACTACATTGGTGACAGTGTTTTCAGCTTCCTGTGAAATGATACATTTTCCTTCAGAGTAAGACCCTGAGGCATCAAAAAGTTTCTCCTCCTCCTTTTCCATGTGTGTCTCCCCTCTGCATCCCTCTTTTTTTTTTTTTTTTTTTAAATCAGTCTTTATTCCTGGCAAGCAGAGGGAGAGAGGCTGTGGTCACACCCAGGATCTGTTCTTAAATTCTGTGCACAAATTGTTTTGGAGGTACAGATAAACAATGCTGCTTCAGCTATGGAAATAACAGTGTGTTACCTGACTTACTGGAGGGACTTCTGAATGTTCACACTTCATCCCATCTCCTGCAAACAGCTGCCAAATGTTGGCCTCCAGTTAGGCTGCTCAATGTTGCTTTGATTAGTAGGGTTAATCAGGACTCTTTTTTTTTTTTTTTTTTTTTTGGTAATGTTCCAAAGAAATGAGACTTCTGAGGTGAATTAGTAACATTTCTATCTGTCTTTGTTTTAATATGTCTTGCCATAACAGAGGTTCAGAAGTTTGCTGAGCACCCTGTCACTCTTTGCTTTTGTTGGGTACTGAACAGGTTTTATTAGGCTATTTAAGAAATTAGAATGATGTTGTTAACTTCCAATTACAATTCCAACATACACAGGCATTCTTTATTGACAGGCAAACCAGTGTATTTAGTGAGAATTTAAAATTGGGCCCTTGCTGGCTTGGTCACAGCCTTCACTCTCTTCAGATGATCTGTGTTCCTTCTTCTCCTAACAGAAACATTGGGATTCCTTGCAGCCAAATAGACAGCTTCAGTTTAAGTCATTTTTGTTGTCCTCTGCAGGTCCTGAGGCTGTAGGGTCGCTCTGTTCCATGTGATATATTGCCGGGTTTCTGTTCTGTGAAAGGGAGGAGAGATGGTGAAGAAGAGAAAAAAATAAAAATGGTTGTGCCTGGGAGCTTCTTGGGTTTGCACTAAACCTGCTCTGTGCACAGAAAAAAATGTTCTGCTTTTGTTCCAAGCTGAGTAATATATACGTATGAGATGCATTTTGTGGTGCCCATGTTGTCAGCCTTTCCGTTATAACCTCCAATTTTAGTTTTGTATTATGGCCTCAAATTTAATGCCCAGTGCAAAGTTTTGGTATAACTTCAGTCTTCCTCCAGTGAACAGTGTTTCAGCTATATTTTTCTTTATTTTTTTTGTACTTTTTTTTTTTTTATTCAGAACTGTGAACATTATATTTTATGGCTAAAATTGCAAGTCTGACAGTACGTTTGAATGCATAAAATAATGAGTTGATGTGTGTTATTTCAAATGGTTAGAGTGAATTTCTGCTTTTATTTTTCTGTGCTCCCACTGGAATTCTGGTCGTAAGA